AGCTGTATTTCATTTTTTAATTTTTAATAATTACACTGCATCAATAGTATGTATACATGTACATATATAATTCTTAATAACTGCAGTGTATCTAGCATATATATAATGGTGGCTGATAAATGTTTAATAGCAGACTCTGGAGGAGGAATCCTGACATACAGTATTTGCCAGTTTAAATTAAATGTTCACCTCCCTCACAGCCAATTTAAATCTACCAATGGTTTAGTAACTAGGATGTAAAATTTCTAAAAATTTGAGAATTGGGGATGGGCATGGTGGCTCAGGCCTGTAATCCCAGCACTTCAAGCAGCTGAGGTGGGAGGATCACTTGAGCCCAGGAGTTCCAAGACCAACCTGTAGCAACATGGCAAAACCCTTTCTCTCTCCACAAAATATCAAAAAATTAGCTGGGTGTGGTGGCACATGCCTGAGGTCCCAGCTCCATAGGAGGCTGAGGTGGGAGGATCACTTGAGAACAAACAGGTCAAGGCTGCAGTGAGCCAAGATGGCTCCACTAAACTCTAACCTGGGCAACACAGTGAGACCCTGTGTCTACAAAACAATTTAAAAATTAGCCAGGTGCGATAGCACACACCTGTGGTTCCAGCTTCTCAGGAGGCTGAAGTGAGAGAATTGTTTAAGCCCAGAAGGTAGAGGCTGCGGGAAGCCATGATTGCACCACATTGATTTGTGGTGTTCCTTTGAAAGAAAAATTACATGTTTGGATGAAGCTGATATGAGGACACTCTGTCCATATTTAGTACCCTGCTTCATTTCATATTTCCCATAGAACAAAATTCTAATAATTGCTATGCCCAGAAACTAATCCATCACACTCCTTCCCACTCTCCCTTCCCCTCATCCAGCTGTCCCTTGCAGAGTGGCAATGTCTTTGCAGGGGAATAAAAAGCAGAAAAGGGAGAGAAGTTAGGAAGCTATCACTATAATAGTGACAGGTTCAGAGGGCAGCGATGGGAAGTAGTGGCATTCCCAGCACCAGTGAACAGCCAACAGACTGCCCCAAGAGAAAACACCTGGGAGAAAATACTTTGCCATCAACAGAGACTCCCTTCTGTTTTTCCAGTCCCTTTTCCTTCTGCTTGCCCTGACATCCCAGCGTGTAGCACTTTCTTTCCCTCTCCCTCCTATGGAAACATTTTCTCTTTTACTTTATATCTTCACTTTCCTCCTAACCCATTCATCTCTTTAACATTTTTTTATTGCTTTAACGTATTTTTATTTCATTCCATTCCTTCCCTCCTTTCTCATCATCTCAATAATATAGGACTAAACCACAGCTTTGAATGTCTTCTGTTTATTGAATATGAGGTTGGTTTCCCTACAGAATCAACAGTTCTAAAAAAGAAAAAGGTTTTAAATTTTTTAAGTTGGCATTTTCAGAAACAGAAAATCAAATACTGCATGTTCTCACTTCTAAGTGGGAGCTAAATAATGGATGTACATGGACACGATGGAAACAGCAGACACTGGAGACTCCAGAAGGGGAAGGGAGGAGGGAACACAAGGACCGAAAAACTATCTGTTGGGTACAATGTTCACTATGTGGGTGATGAGTTCAGTAGAAGCCCAAACCCCAGCATCACCCAATATATTCATGTCACAAACCTGCTCATGTACCCCCTGGATCTAAAATAAAATAAAGTTGGCATTTTATGTCTTGCTCTTTAATTTAAAAAAACTAAAACACAAAGGCCAAGCCTTCTAAACTTAGTAGGTTTTATTTTTATCACCAGGTCAATGATTCTCTATAGGAAATAACATGTTGAAATTTAACCTTAAAAAATGACAAGATGAAAACAATATTTACATGAAAGATACACTTAAACATAAATCTCCTGAAAGTGAAATAACAAAAAGAGGATGCGATTTGAAAGTAGTAAAATGCATAAGAATGAAACTATACGTATCTATTCAACCCATGTTCTAGAAATACATTTAAATTTAAATAAGGAAAGCATAAAAGTTATTTTACCATTAACTTATAATCCAGCACAATAAAGAATGGGAAATATTTCTTATATCTCATCTATGGCTTAACTAACTGATGGCACCACCAAAGTCAGTTCCACTAACTGGCTATAAATGTCCACATAAGAATACTGCATGTCTGGAAGCCAGCACATATCAGATGCTGTTTCATGAGTCAAAATGCCTCCAAGGGAATGAGAAAATATTTAAAGTCATTTTGTATGGTCAGTTCTTTCCACTTCACCAGTTAGATCTCGTGCTCTCTTCCAGATATTTCATGAACCTGTGATTTTACAGAAACTGAAGTGAAAGGATTGAGGCAAATCTTCCAAAAATATTAAACCATCGCCCACCCAGAAAAAAATCCTCAATGTTCTTGATATTTCAAGTGAAAATGTTTCAGTTGACTGACTCATCTGGAAAATTACCTCAGCTTTCCCTTCAGCTGACACACACAGCCACAGTTAGAGAAATTGACTCTAATGCCATATTCAGAAACTGATGATGCAGAAAGAAAGCGACTCTAATGCCATAGTCAGAAACCGATGATGCGGAAAGAATCCCAAAGACATCACTGAAAAGTTGGGGACACACTGTACATCTATTCCACATTGTTATTGTACTCTAAACCTTATAGTCAAAAATATACAATTTCACAAATACTTTAACACTGTCTACTCCAAAAGACTCCAAAAATATTTCTTAAAATTTTTTAGTTATGGAAAAGCAGACATAAGTCAATTGCTCTTTAAAGGAAAAAAATCTTAAGTAATTAATTTAGTACTTTCCTTACCATTATAAAGCTGTCCATTGTATTATAACCGTATTATAAGCTATGGCAATAATATATTATGATAAATAGTGCCTTGCTCCATAGCAGAAAGTACACATAAACACATACTAATTACAGATTCAGTTACACGCTGATGTTCATTGTATGTGCAATAAGACAGCAGTTGCATGTTAGCTGGTGCCATTCACATATTCAACCAGCTAACAATACACTGCCAGCTCATCACACACAGGTAGCCAGTGCATTTCACTGACAAGAGGAATTTATCCAGAAGCAAGTGGCAGGGTAGTTGCGGCTGCTGACTTGACCTAAGCAGCCAACTAACAACACACTGCCTACCTGATTCAGGTCATTGCCAATTCTTGCGGCCCGGGAAGGTCATGAGGCTAAATGCATAACATGAAACACAGTGGCAGAACTCTAAGCTTAATAGTCACATTAAAGAAAACTTATAGACAAAACATGTTACTTCAAGGCTATAAGAAATAACATCAATATTTGCTTGAATTTAGTCAAGAACAAAAAAGTGAAGCAAACAAAAACTTAAAAACTTTCAAAATACTTACACTTAGGTTTTCCAAATTAAATGTTTGGATAATGAAGATACGTTACTGCAGTACAAATGTTAAAAGTTACCTAACTGTAGAGCAGGCCCAGCAGCTCACACCTGTAATCCCAGCACTTTAGGAGGCCAAGGCAGGCTGATCCTCTGAGGTTACAAGTTCAAGACCAGCCTGAGCAACATGGTGAAACCCCTTCTCTCCTAAAAATACAAAAATTATCCGGATGTGGTGGTGCTGCCTGTAATTACAGCTACTCAGGAGGCTGAGACACAATTGCTTGAATATGGGAGGCAGAGTTTGCAGTGAACTGAGATCGCACCACTGTGCTACAGCCTGGGCAACAGAGCAAGACTCTGTCTCAAAAAAATAAAGAGTTACTTAACTATAGCTTTTCAAATCACTTCTATTTACTGATCAAAAGATTAGTTTTCTCAATTAAGCAGTGAAATATCTAGGAGTTGTGATAATACATAAGCTGGGCATGACACAAAAACTGTAGCAGTGTTTAGGGGGGAAATTAACATTGAAGTATTTAAGAAAGGTAAGGGCTTAAACGTAATTAGTTTTCTCCTACTAGAAATGACATTAGTGATTGAGTTCTGAAAATGCAATTATGTATTCAATTTATGATGTTACCACTTGAATACAGATTTTTTTTTTTTAAGAGACAGGGTCTGGCTCTGTCCTCCAGACTGGAGTACAGTCACGCAATCATAGCTCATTGCAGCTTTGAATTCCTGGGATCAAGCGATCCTCCTGCCTCAGCCTCCCAAGTAGCTGGGACTATAGGCATATGTTATCATGCCTAGCTAATTTTTGTAGTTTTTTTGTAAAGACAAGTTCTCTCTATGTTGTCCAGGCTGATCTAGAAGTCCTGGCCTCAAGTGATCCTCCTGCCTCAGCCTCCCAAAGTGCTGGAATTACAGGCGTGAGCCACGGTGCCCAGTTGAAACATGTATATAAGAGCTAGAAAAATCTGTTAAAATGGTGATGGATTTGAAACTAGAATCTGTGAGTACAGGTCAAAGAAGGATGAACTATGGAGCCTAGAGAGAAGCATGGTAAATGGTGACAGAGATTTAAAGCAAATGAAAGTTGCTTATGAGAAACGTTTTCAAAACCATTTAAATTTGTTTCCTTTTACACTGATTACAAGAGACAATAAAGACCTTTGTGTTTGGTCTTTCAAGGAGAACAGGTGGTACGACATGGGATCAACTTCAAATTGCTCACGTTAAGAGCCGTGGTTTATGCCACTTCTCCACACTGTCCACAAGATGGCACCATTTCCATTTCTTTGGGGAGCGTGCGTCTGAACGCAACAGAAGGGAGTGTAACCAGCAACTGTTAAAATTATTAACAGCCGCTAGCAATACACTGCCTACCTGACACATCCCAGCTTTATCCTTTGCTGTGGAGGCAAAAAACTAGAAAGCACGATTCAGATGCAAATGATTACCATTATTTGTCTGGGATCTTCAGTTTCATAAAGAATGTTTTTAAGTATGTAGTAAGATACTGTGCTTAAGCGATTGATTTTAATTCTCATATTCTCAGACCAGCTCATACTTCCTACAAATATATTCTTTAGCAAGAATTAGTTTGTTCAAGATCAGAATTAAAACAGAGAACAAGAACAATCTCTAGACACTCACCTTAGCGAAGCCTTGACTTCTCTTCTGCTTCAAGTCTTTGGCGAGCACACGCATGATACTTTCCTTTGAAAACACAGATAACATATTAAGAGAGAAACTATTTAGGAAAATCATAATTTAAGGCGTGGAATTTTTCTAGATCCTGTGCTTGTCAAATTACACTCTTTTTTTTTTAAGCAACTAGGCGCCTTCAGAATATAACTAAATTACACCACTCAAATTTACGACCAGGGTTTAGAGTTTCGTACCACCTGTTGGTCCTAAACAGATATTACGAACGGGGACTTCGGCAAGAAGCCGCGTTAGCGAGTTAGGGCAAACGCAGAAAAGGACGTTACTCACCCACAGCATCTCCTCTTCGGTGCGGACCCTCCGAGGCGCGGTGCGCTCCAGTTTCCACTCCATTCCGGCTGACTTCCCCCTGCCTGGCGTTTGGCCTCTCCTCGACCGCCTCTGGTTTTCTTCCCAGATCTAAGCCAGTCTTGACCCCTAATTGTCAAACCCCTGGAGTCCCGTCCCTCAGGACTATTCTATTTCACTACCTCCTGCATGTCCCCCACTCCTCTCACCGTGGCTGCTCGGTGTTCCCCAGAGTACCATTTAAAAAGCCGGCGGGGCGGCAGCTGGCGCGGGAATCCTCCTCCCCGGCTTCTTATTGGCCGGCGCCTAGGTGACGTCATAGCCTGGGAGGGATTTCCCTGGCGCGCGCCACGGCCCCGCCCCTGCTGGCCCGCTCTGGGGCCCGCCCCAACGCCGCGTCTGGTGGAGGCGCGCAAGGGGGCGCCAAGGTTTGCCGCGAGCCTTGGCGGGCCTGCGGCTGGGCCTGGCGCCGGGGACTGCCACCGCGGCAGGAGGCAGTGAGGTTGGCGGGCGAAGAAGCGGGTTCTGGGAGTTCAAGATCTTTCCATTTTCAGAAACAAGAGTATTTCCTTATAACAGCCCTGATCCCCGTTCCTCGGCTCCCACTTCTCTCTCCAGCCCCACCCTGCCTTTGCAGGATCGGAGGGTGCACAGCTCTCTGGCTTCTGTCCGTTGGTAATCGCTGTGTCAGCTATTGATTTGAGGCGTGTTCATCAGCTCTTCGTTTTCAAACAGGCAAGAAAACATGGCAAGATTTCTATGCCGCTCGAAAGAGCGTTGACATATTTATGCAATAAATTATTCCCTGCTCTATACATTGGGAAGAGATGAGGTCCTCTCACTCGGGCTTCTGAGCTCTGTTCCTAAGCAGGAGGTTGGTGAGAAAGGTGAAGAGGTAGTGAAAGATCCAATGACAGGCAGGACCTCGAAAGGCGTCAAGAGGGGGCCAGAAAGCTGAGCACACTGGAGACTCCGTGATAAAGGGGGAGAGGAAGATATTGAGGGTTGAGAAAGAGGTCTGGCGGGAAATGACAGAGAGCCAGATGAGCTGTGCAGCCTTAGCTGCCCGTCTGAGCTGCCAAGAGAGTCGAGCTGTGCCATATGGCAGGAGGGGAAACTGCGTCTGGGAAGTGTCTGACAGCCTGGCAGCCAGTTTGTCCCTCCCTTTCTAATCCCCCAACCATTTTTGACATTGGATTGCATTTTGCTCTAAGGCAATAGAGCAAAATGTGAGCTTGTGTATTTTTCTGGGGAAACAGTTCACAGATACCAGATACTCAAAAGGGTAGGTAATAAAAAAATTTTAAAAAAAACTAAAACTCACTCCCCTGCTTTCCTTCATACTGAAAGCAAGAAAAAATGGCGATAAAACTAAGACCCAATCTTAGACCAGTTTTCTACGTACAATAATAATGCCGCTAAGGGTAACTTAATCTTCAAATGACGTTTATCAAAATGTGTGATAGTCAAATAACTAGGGGATTAAAAGATCTCTAAGTTTCACCCAGAAGAAGTCTGCTTTTCTTGCAGTGGAGAACTCATTCCGAATTCCAGTAAATCCTTTCAGCAAACATTAAGAGAAATAAAAGTAAACTATTATTGGATGAGAGTCAGATGTATTATTAATTTAAGTATTGGTCTTGCAAATGCCAACTAAAACTCGAAGTGTTTTGGAAATAATAGGAAGGACATTTTATCTTTGTTCTATTTTTAAATACAGTTTACATTTGCTCATTTTGTATAAACACAGAATAAAAGCAATAAAATTAATGAGCTCATAAATCCATGTAAATTGGGATTTTTAGAATCCAATTTTTTACAAGTATAAGAATAGTGAATTATTCATTTATAATGCAGTTATCTGTAAAAAAAAAATACATTTATAAATTCCATTCTGGCCACTAATTCCACAGTATACCTATACACAACCTCTAATTGCCTTTTTTCCACTGGTGTAATGTAGAAAAGTATTAGTCAAATATCTTTAGGAAGTCATTACGCAGTTGAATATTCAGATTAAAGTTTAACCTCAGAAACTTGCCATTTAGCAAATACTACAGTAATAACTGTCAAGAATACTAAAATTATCTTGCATATAATGAGAACATTTCCCCCTATAATTAAACACAAAAATTAAAATCACAACTTTTCATTGACCAAAACTGGCAGAGACCACCTTAACCAAGTGATCAAAATTAACATTACCATTAATGAGACATGTTGACATACTGTGCCTCCTGATATTGTGCACCAGGAAGGGCACATCACTTCTGTGATATTCTTGACCCACAAAATGCATAACCCTAATAGTGAGAAAATACTAGACAAATCCAAATTAAAAGACAATCCACAAAACTGGCCAGTACTCTTCAAAAGTACCATGGTCATGAATAAAGAAAGACTAAGAAACTGTCACAGATTTAAAGAAACAAGACATGCCAACTAAATGCATTGTGAGGTTCTGGATTGAATCCTGGACCAGAAGAAAGAAGAAGTTTTCGGTTAGATAATTGTAGAAATGTGAATTGATCCATATCTGCAGATTAGTTTAATAGAGTAGTAGTAATGCTGATTTCCTATGATTATTGCATTGTGGTTGTGTAAAATGTTAAGATTTGTGAAAGCTGAGTGAAGGATATAATGGAATTATCTGTAAAATTTTTGTAACTCTTTTCTAAGTCTGGAATTATTTCAAAATGAAAAAATATTTAACATCATGTGGTCATTCTAATAAAAGCAATTTGGTACAACCGTTTAGGGGAAAGCAGAAATATCCTGTAAACATTTTAATTTGTATAAAATATGGTTTAGGAACAATGTCTAATTCAAATATTTATGTGCCTGCGAGTAGCTTTACTATCTTTAAAATGTTTCCTCTTTGAGAATGGGTTTTGCAGGGAGGATGTGACAATGAGAAAGGCTGTGAGGAAGACTCCTCGAAAAAGGCCATTTCGAAGGATTTTGAAGAAAGAAAGGCGACGGGAGCGGAGGTGGAGTAGTGAAGGAAGGGAGAGAAAAAATATGGAAAACTTTCCCTTAACTCTCAAAATCGCCGGTGCTCTGAGAATCTGAGCAGGTCCCTATGAATGGGAAGCAAGAGGATAGTCAAGCTTCCCAGATGCGATCTCTTTTTTTTTTTTTTTTTTTTTTTTCCAATTACACTTTGATTCTAAACATCAAGAATGTTAAATTTCTCACAAATATGCCATGTACATGGGCTGGCTTCAGCGGCACGTGCACTGAATGTGTAATATACTAAGTACACTCCCTTCAATCCGCTCTCCCAACCGCCTCCTCCCTCCCCTCAGCTTCGTCAGACCCTTTTCAACGCATTTGCACGTGTACACACAGAGTCTGGCCCCGTGGATCTTCCCCCATAAATAAGATCTCATTATACTTATCATTCTGCAACTTGCTTTTTCTAATTCACTGTATTCAACTAATTTCCAAGCAATGCAAACCTGAGAGCTCCCCATCCCCAGCTCCAACGGCAGGTTTGCGCGCCCCTCCGGCCCGCGGCTCCTCCCGCCAGGCTCCGTGCTGGTCCCGCGCACGCCGCCCGCTGGCGCCCCTCTACGCCCGCTCCCGCCTCCGCCCCCAGCTTCCGCGCGCCTCCCGGCCGCCCCTGCGCGCGCCTACTGGGCCGGAGGGACCGTTGGCGTTCGTTCCAACGGTCCCAGGGGCACGCGTTCCCCGCTCAGCAGGAGTTGGCGAGCGGGAGCTGGGAATGTGAGGGCTGCTACAGCTCCAGCCTGTGCGGGACAGGCGTTAAACGACTGCAGAAGGGGAGAAGTTAGGATAACCACACTGGTGGCGCGAGGAAGTCAGCCACGAAGAAAAGGAAAAGAAAGGAAAAACATCGTCCCAGACTGATAAACTCTCTGCTCCCGGATGTAACGTGGCTCAGAATAGCGCAGGGATGGACTAATGAAGCCCTTATAATGCAACCTACCAGTAGGGCTCCAAAATTTTAAATTGCAAAGGTTCCAGCAGCATAAAAGCCTCAATCAGAAGAGTGCTCAATAAAGTGGCACATCACCTCTCGTTACAGGGCTTATTGCTTATTTTTTCGATTACAAGTAATTCCTGTATATGCATATTTTTCTATTACTGCCTGATTTCTAAGTACGGTACAAGGTCGGTCCTTTAAAATTATTTCTCCATCCATACCCCAATTAACAGGGATGGAAAGGTTTGCCCAGCTTCACTGCATGAAAATCTTAAGATCACCTCCAACCACTTATTTCCTTTAAGGCACTTTTCCTTTCACTTCCTCCTTAGAGTCGTTCTTGCATAAGGTAACCGCCCAAATAAGGCAGTTCCCTACCATTTTAAGGCAATGCAAGGAAAATATTAAAATGAAATTAATTCAAATCTGTATAAAACTAATGGATAGCATCAGGCATATGACAATGATCCTTTCTCAAAGAAAACTGGTTCATGAATGCTCTAGACCTGAAAATCTCTTTTCACTATTCTTCCAGAACTTCAAATGCGACATAATCCAAAACAGAGCTGAGCATCTTATTTCCATTCTGCCCAGACCATCTATCTATCCTGCCTTCTGTGTGCCCTGTTGCCAATATCACCAACTTCCTGGTGGAGCAGAGGCAAAGTCAGCTTTCCTCCTTTTCCATATGCCCAAATCCAACTATCAAAGACATTTACCCTCTGCTGTGTTGATTACATCTGCCTTCTTCTTAAACAATAATGATGACCCCTAACTATTCCTTCTTCAGTCCATTCATTTAACTTATGTCTTCAGACCCGGGAAATGTCATGCAAAGAAGTGGAAATCCAATGATTTCCACTTTCCTATGCAAAGAAGTGGAAATCCAATGATAAAGCCACAAAAGGCAATAAGCATTATCTTAAGATGATTGTATTTCTCCCCTGCCCCAAGTCCCTTGAAAGACCTTCTTAACACATAGCATTAAGTTCTGAATTCTCTAATTCACATAAAACCCCTTTAGGATTTAAATTCTCTCTGCCTTTCTCTCAAATTTCCTACAACACCACCAGTACCTCCTATCTTCAGATGTACTTGATACCAGCACTCTCTTGCCTTCAGGTCTTTGCTGAGGCTGCCTTACTTTTGAATTATTTTTGCTTATCTCTTACTGGCAAAATCTTACCCTCAAATTTCAACTACGTTTTCCAAAGAGCCTTCCCAAATCAAATCATGCTATCTAGAATTTCTTTCTCTTCCCTCTGTTCCCA